TGTCCCCCATATGACAACAGGGAGCCTCTTGCGCTGCAGAGGCCCCCAGCCGAAATAGCCCTTCCCGGTAGGCCTCTCATTCGTCGTCGACAGTCTCGACAAACGTCATGGTAAGCCCCTTGTCGCCGTCAACGTTCAGGTTGACGGCATCGAGAGCGTCACTCCTAGAGGAGAACTTCGGGGCAGAGACGGCAGCGACGGGGACGGCGCGGCGGGCCAGCTCAGGAGAGTTCTGCATGGCTACGAGTCCCGAAAAAAAGTTAGCACAAGTTATTTTTATAGAAGCTCGCGGCTCAGGGTCACCCTATGGTGTGTGGGGGCTCCACTACTCACAGGCCGGGATGCCAGACCGAACGAACATGGTGGTGACCTTGACCCTCTGGCCGCTTCCAACAACATCGCGCCGGACCTTGGCCTTGCCGCCCTCGCGGGCGGGAGGAGCCTTCTCAGCCTTCTCAGCCTCGCCCTTGCCGGGGCGGGCAGCGGCCACCTGGTTGTTGTCAACGATGATACCGACTCCCGAACCTTCGGCACCGGTGCCGAGCTGGATCTTGGGACCCTTGGTCAGGGCGGCCTCGGCGAAGCGCAGGGCACGGTCAAAGCCGGTAATGTCACGCTTGGAGATGTCGGAAGACTCCTCGGCATCCTGCTCGACCTCCTCCTCTTCGGCCTCGTCGTCTTCGGCGCGAGGAGCGATTGACTTGCCCATACCCTGGAGAGCGGCGATTTGCTGAGCCTATGCGGTGAGGTTGATTCGTCAGTCGTGCCCGTGGTTTGGAGGTACATTCGTGGGGACCGCGGTGTGCGACTTACCTGCTCCTGGAGAGCGGGGTCGGCGGCAGGGGCAGCCGGAGCTGCGGGCTGAGCGGCGGCGGCAGCGGGGGCAGGCTGGGCAGGCTGTGCGGTGACTGGTGCCTGCGTGGCTGGGCGGCCAGCTGCTCCGCCGGCAGCTCCGCTGGCAGCGTTTACTGCAGCGCCCTCGAGGGCGTTCATGAGGTTCGATACATCTGCCTTTCCTCCGAAACTAATTTCACCATCACCTGTTCCCCCATTGCGTGTTAGTAGACTGGTCTGGGCGAGGGCCTACCCAGCAACTGCGAGCGTCGTGCTCATGGAGAAAACTGACCGACTACCAGAGCGGGAGAGTAGGCGCCAAGGTTGATATTAAGGGGCAGAGCTGCGACCATGCCGGCCATTCCGGCCATGGCAACGAAGCGGTAGTTGACCATTGTGAAAGTGTTGGGCCGAGGTGGGCGTATTACTTGGGATGAGATAAGATAGATAATGAGAGACAAAAAGATAGCGATAGGATGTGTGTGTGTGGTGGGGGGTTATTTAGTGTATAATACAAAAGACGACCAGCGGAGGATGCGACCAGCGGCAAAGAAAAGGTAGATATTGAAACAGCGGGCCAGGAGCAGCACTACGAGGGCGAGTATAATCGTCGTGGTGAGCACAGCTGATGGGAGAGACAAGCGAGGACCCGACGGTATCGACGGAAGAACTGTGCGAGATATATAGAAAAGGCAAGCACAAGCCCCAAGGTGATGAATCGAGATGAGCCGGGAGGCCCGGTAGAGGAGGAGACTGCCAAGACTCAAGGGGGGTTATGGAAATGAAGCACCATGTACCTGTGCAACCCCAGCTGGGGTCTCTCCCAGAGGAAAGGGCCCGCGTCGGTCCACCGGGGAGGGGCCTGAGGTGGGCGTCGACAGATGTGGATGTCGCGTGAGCTGCACGGCTATGCCAGGCCCCGGCAGGCGACTAAGGCCATGTGGTAGAGCTTGCGGTCTTCTCGCCAGTCCCCCAGAACTCTAGACCGACACCCAGCTCAGACGAGAGTCAAGGTAAAGGAAGAGAGGACGAAAGCGAGCACGGACAAACAAGGCAGCGGACAGGGGCCCTGACGGCCATGGGAAACGGTAGATGCTGGGTGGTCCACGTCCTTGGACGAACCTGGACGGGCACAGCAGCCAGGAAACGTCCTTGGAGACGGGGCTTGACAGGCAGCGCCAAGAGGCGGCAGTGGTGTAGGAAGACGAATGCATGCCGAGCCTTTGAAACGCGCCAGTTGACGGTCCGTAAACAAGGCCCCAAAAAAAAAAAACAAACACACACACACACACACATAGCAAGTGGCAGCGGGGAGGGATGAAGGCGGTCCACCAGAAAAGCTTGTGAGGATGCGCCTGGAGATGGTCGGGGTGACTACAGGAGTGACCCCTGGCTCGCACAACGCCAAGAACCCTGAGAAATGCGCAAGATAGGACGGTGGACGTCGCTTTGCAGAGAAGGCCCCGTCGGCGGGCTTGACGGAAGGCGTGGTGGGGCGGGAGAGGCCTTCAGCACCAGCGTCGACCGTCCGGGATATCGCAGCTTGAGCCCCAACTCATGCCAGTGGCGAGGGATGTCGTTCCTTGTGGGTCAGTCATACTTGAGACTCTGCCAAGGGATATTACATCCACCCACAGGTGCCCTCAGCGGCCAAAGTTCCTCACTGCCGCCCAGCAGCATATGACTGGCCGGGGGGGGGACTGGGCCCGACAAGACGCCCATGTCTAGCCATTGTGCCCTTTCCCTTTGGAGGCAACGGGCGAGGCTTGGGACACGCGAAGCACACGCCAGTGTCGAGTCGGGAGACAAGCTCCATGACAGCCTTGCAGCCAGCAACCCGAAAGCCAAATCGCACACTGCGTCGTGTTGCTGCGGGGGACTGACGTTGGAAATGATCAACAGAAGGCGAGCGGGAACAGAGGAAGCCAAGCACGGCCGAGCCCCAAGGCTGGCTGTCCCTATTTGCCCCAGCATGGGGGCTGCTTGTTCCACAGCCGAGGCTTCTCGGGTATTCTTGCGATTCTCTTTTAGAAGCGGCGCATCTCGAAAGGAGGCAATCAGGAAGCACCGAAGACTGCTCTGCTCCAGAGGCCCGAGCCCCAGGCCAGCCAGGGTGTTGGGGGAGGGGGCGATGCAGGAACCTGAAATTGAGGCGTTCTGGCCTAGCGCGCTAGGAGCCCAACTCGGGATGGACACCTACGTGGGCAGGCGGGCAAACGATAGTGGCAACCTGGAGCCCATGTCGGGCCCGGGTCGGGCAGACGAAAGCGGAAATAAAACAAAAGGGGCTGTGTTTTGGCGAGGTGGGCAGGCTGCCCGCCCGTGGGTTGGATACCGAAGGTTGGATAGCGGCGTCCCCAATCAGGTCGGGATGGAATGTTTGGTTTTGACGTCGTTGGAGTTTTGATGGACGTTGTCAAATGGCATCATTCGCTAAATGCCATTCTCAAGGCTTGGTATTGTGGTCAGAGTGTTTTTTATTTATTTTTTAGGCGAGCGGCACAGTCAAGCTTCGCCGTTGGCAGGCTTGGTCGCGGGGCAAAAGGCTTGGTAAGGCAGGCCCCACCGCTCTGCTCTTGCTGTTTTCACATTTTCTGCGTCCCAGTTTCCCATTGCAAGCCCGCGCGGCGTGTTGTTTTCCCATCCAGCGCACCCACCCAGAGCGGGCACGGTCATTTCGCCCCTTGATCGCCAAGCCGGTCAACTTGGTGGTGTGGATACTGCTGCCCCCACTGAAAGTCGTTTCCTGTCCCCCGATGCAACCGTGACTGACGCATCGCCTCAAACCAGCCCCTGTTCAAGGGCAACACGAGCCGGGAAAGCGCCGCGTGTTCCTGCTTTGGGAACGCTCAGACTAACCTCGAGCAATCAGCAGAGCAGAGCCGTCAACCCAAAGGGCCCAAACGCCATATGGAGCGCGACATGTAGATACCTAGGTAGATACCTAGGTAGATGGATAGGTAGATGGATAGGTATCACTAGCCTGTGTGCCTGTCCACCATGAGCTACCCAACAAAGCCCTCACTGGCGTCTTGACGTGGGCTAGCCAAGGCTGTCGCTCGCCTGGCTTCTGGGGATCTTTACTTGACAACCATCTGCCTCCTCGTGCTGACCTGGCGGCCCAGGGGCCGGGTCCCTGGCCCCTGGCTCCTGGCTGCCTGGCTCCGGAGTGGCAGCCAGCAGACAGGAGTCAGCCATGAAATTGTCGGCTATCGCCCCCAAGACTTCAAGAAGGGCATGGAAATCAGCCTCTGCCCATGGCACGCACGCCATGGCATTTCACAAACAACCCCACCACCGCACTGCTACCATCTGCGAGGGAAATAAACAGTAAAAACCCACCTCCCAACAGGGGGGGTCAAAACTGGAGATCACAGGGGTGGCAAAAGGGGGGTCACGTGCTGGCATGAAGTCACTGCCATTATTGAAGTTGGTGAAAGAAGGAGAGAAATCGAGAAAAGCTTTTAAAGGACGAGAAATTCTTGAAGTCTCGTGACATCCCCCAAGTCACTACGACCCCTGCGATTTCCAGTTTTAACCCCCCTGTTACTGGGTGGGTTTTTGCTTTTTATTTCCCCCGCAGATGGTAAGACATGATCTCCCTAGCCAAGTTCGATCGCCAAGTGGAAACATCCGGGCCGCCCACGCACCAACCTCCAAAAAAAAAATCCGCACACGTTATATTTTTCCCCACCCAAACTCTTCAGAAAAAAAACATCAGGAGAAAATCAATTCAATTGATTGCAATGCCTCGTTATCATAACACAC